TTTTGACTTTCTTTTTTCCTCCGCTTTATCAAATCTGAAGTTTACGTGAACAAAAGAATAACTCTCATTGGATAATAAATCATCCAATAGAAAGCGTCTAATAAGTTGAGATACTTTACAGATTAGTGATGTATCGACCTGGAGCGTTATGTAATATCGGTACTCTTGTATGGCAGTGAATGCTGGATAATTTCCTCACAGATGAAGAACAGACTTGAGGCAAAAGAAATGTGGTCCTACAGAAGGATACTGAGAATACCATGGGCTGAACATGTGAGAAATATTGAAGTTTTAGAGACAATGGAAACAGAAAGGACACTTATACATAGAATCTGAAAAAGACAATTGAAACGTCTAGGGCGAATAACGAGGAAAGAAGGCTTAGAAAATTTGACACTCACAGAACATGTTGAAAGCTAGAGGGACAGAGGAAAATTGTGAATAGCCTGCCTAACGAACACGTGAAAATGGTTGGCAGAACAGGAATTAGAAAGGATAGCAAAAAGACAAACATTGCTAAGAGTTATAAACGACAGGAAGTTATAGAGAGCCATGATCGCACATGTCCTGAATGGAGACGCCACATAGAAAAAGATGTACCGTCAGAGTAAGAAGACCTAGAATAATAATAAGAAATTTATTGGTAAATTCTTTCTTTCTTTCTTTCTTCTTCTTCGTTATCTTCTTTATCTTCTTTTCCTTCTTCTTTTACTTTTGCTTCTTTTTCCTTTTTTTCTTCTTCTTCGTCTTCTTTTTCTTCCTTTCCTTTTTCTTTTTCTTCTTTTTCAATGATAATAATAATAATAATAATAATAATAATACAAGTTTTGCCGTATAAATTCAGCCAGAATCTACTCTCAATTCAACAACGCCACACTTTATTAATTCATTGTCTGATTTAACAATATGGAAGGTGAAAAGTTCTGTAATAGACAGATAAGAAGAAAAATATTGATTTTTCTCACGTTTTTCTTTCTAAGACACAAATTTGCAAAACAAGTCAAAACCATTCTACATCGATAAGGAACTTTTGACATTTGCATTCATGGACATAAATCCAACGTGATCAGAGCAACAAACCAGAAAGGTTTTATAATAAAACCGTTTTATCTGCTGTCACTAAAAGCTTAAACATTAGATGGAAACTGTGACAAACAAATGAAAAAGCACACAGGAATAGCAAAAGATTTCTTCCAGAAACTAAGCAAGACATCCGAAAATATATTTGGAAACAAAGCAAAAAGCGCGGAACTGTTATGTAATATCTAATCTCTTATATGACAACAAGTGCTGGACACTGATGAAGGGGAAACTTGAAGCAACAGAGATGTAGTTCTACAGAAAGATGCTGAGAATACCAAAGACAGGACAACGAGGATTTTTAAGGAAAACTACAATGAAAGTTTTACTTACAATCAGAGATAAACATGACGAAGAAAAAGTGTCTGGAGAATTTTACATTCACAGAACATACAGAAGGCAAGAGAAACGGGTGAAAACATCGAGTACCCTACTCAATGAGTTTCTGCAAATGAAGGGCTCAACAAGGAAGACGAATCATTGTACAGCGCCAAAAGTTACTTAGAACGATTTAATCGTTTTCGGACGGGATATTCTCGTGTAACTATCGTAATAGTCTAATGTCATCTCAGTAATTCCTCGACAAACATTGCTTGCACTGCCCTCATCACAATCGATGAATGATCTTCAGTCTTTATCCGGTTAACTGTCGATAGGACAAAGGCTCAGGACAAAGAAATTCCCCAGGTTATATCTCGTCAGCTGCTGCAGGATAATTACTGTATTCACACCCTATCTATAAATTGTTTGGAATCACTTGATTTACAACTTGAGTAAGAAGACACTTCTGAGCACTTTAGGCGTGGTGTAATGGTTAGTTACCTTGCCTCGCTAGATCGATATACGACTGAATAGTGAGTTCGATCCTCGCTGGTACTTTAGGCCTTGCGTCACATCTAAATTACACTTATCCACCATCTGGGTACTTAGACGTTGTGTAATGGTTAGCAAGTTAGTCTATCGGGGCGTGCTTTCCAGCTTAGGCTTGAGCAAGCACCAAGACGTCGAGCTCTCTGCTTTCGGGCAGAGAGGAACCCAGACGAGACTCTGCCCTTCGGCATAGCTTCGTCTGGGCAGGTAAACAAACCCGACCCCGTGTATGCGAGGTCTACGCCCCACATAAAAATCGGCCTTGTGCCACATCCTGCCTCGTGGGGAGGTCGGGTAAATACCAACTTGAGTAAGAAGACTGAGATCAAAGAAATTTCTTGCCAGGTATCAGCCACACCCATGCTAACAATCGAAGCAGGCATCAATTTATTTGAACTAACTCCTCAAGGTAAAGCATATTCGAAATTATAGCAAAAATAACAAACATAAATAAGAAAACAACTACGGATTTTAAGAGAATAATAATAATAATAATTTTAAGAGAATAATAATAATAATAATTTTAAGAGAATAATAATAATAATAATAATAAGTTACAAAACAACTAGGTAGACAAGGCGTTGTATGGCAAATACATAAAAAGGACGAAAGAAGCAGATGTAGACCAACAGAGAACTCATCAGTGGCTGAAGAGCACCAAGCTGGAAACTGAGACAGAAGCCCTAATTATTGTAGCTCAGGACCAAAGCCTCACAACCAGATCCAATCACTGTCACATAATCAAGGATGGAATTAACCCGAAATGTAGAATCTGCGGAAAATATGATGAAACTGTCGATCATATTATCTCAGGATGTCCAGAACTGGAAAAAAAATATACCCACAAACATAACAAGGTAACGACATATGTGCACTGGAAGATATGCAAGAAGCACAAAATCGAAACCACTGAAAGATGGTATGAGCGCCAACCAACACAATGACCGAAAATAACGATGTAACTATCCTCTGGGACATGTCAATTCAAACTGACAGAGAAATAAAAACCAACAGACCTGATATTATCATAAAAGACAAGAAATTCAGAAACTGTATACTTATTGACATACCAGTACCATCTGAGAGAAACACCGCCATGAAAATTATTGAGAAATTGTCTAAAAACAAAGACCTGGAGATCGAGATTAACAGGATGTAGGGAATGAAGACTGAGACTGTATCAATAGTAATCGGAGCTCTTGGCCCTGTGTGAAAAGGAATGGACAATTGTACTAACAGTGTCCCAGGTAACATCAACATACAAGTTGTCGCCCTACAAGGAACATCCCATATACTAAGAAAAGTGCTATCAATTAAATGACAATTCTCCTATAGGGCCTAAAGATCATAGTTTGGACCTGGCCCTACAGAATAAAAAGCAAGAAACATAACATAACATTAATAATAATAATAATAATAATAAATAAATAAATAAATAAATAAATTCTTATTAATAACCACAAACAAAAACGGTGACTCCTTATTGATATGGCAGTCCCTGCTGACTGCAATGTATCTTTGAAGATATTCAAAAAGCTGTCAAAATACAAGGACCTTGAAATAGAAATCTCGAAAATGTGGCATATGGGAACATCAACAATCCCTGTTGTAGTTGGAGCCCTAGGACTGGTTGGAAAAGATTGCAGTAGACTAATTGAAGGGATTCCTGGAAGTCCATGCCTCAAGGAGATACAAAAAATTGTTCTGACAAGTACAGCCCACACTTTACGAAGGGCTTTATCTATGTAATTTTTTTTTTGTCAGTGGAAAGTGTCATGATGCCATTTCAAACCTTAGGTCCCTGGGCGGGACCCGGAAAGAAATGTTTAAACGCCAGAAATCAAAGAAATAATAATAATAATAATAATAATAATAATAATAATAAAAAGAAGAAGAAGAAGAATACAGCAGGAGTAAGAAAAGAATACTACAAGCGTGTGCGTCTGATGTTAAATACAGAAAAACAGAATATCCGTTATAAACATTTTGGCTGTCCCTGTGGAAACCTAGACATATATATATTGTACATTAGAAATAATCGTTATTACTTCTCTCAAATGGTAAAACAGTTGCAATTATAAGCGTTATAACGGACAAAGTTTCAATTTCCAATATGTTTTATAGCCTCATAATGCTTTTAAAAATGATATATTTAAATGCTACTTCCGTAGCTCTTAACTTTTAATTCAACCTTCAGCTGACGAAAGAAGTGATTTAAAAAAAAACACAGCAAAACAAAAATAGATTTGGACAATGTGGAAAGAGAGAAAAATTGTTTTTAGTTCAGCGACAAAAGTCTATAATGACATCGATCGATAAGGTAGCATCAATTGACAAGAATGCAAATCTAAGTTTTAAGAAGCTTGTAGGTATTTCGTGACATTCCCAGAAACTTAAAAGATTTATTAGGTACACGCAAAAGTTTACAGCGGTTTTTTTTTTTATTTTGGCTTTGTTTTTTGTTTTGTTTTTTGTTTTTTTTTTCTTTCTACGTATCGAGTTTCTTTAAGATATGCGGGTAGTGTAACCGTTATCGGCGCTGAAATGGAAATCAGCGAACTGACTTTCGAACTATGCCCTTGGAAAAGATATAAATTCGTTTCTCGCCCCTACCCCAAGTTATTAAATAATTAGCAAGGTAGAAGAGGCTCTCAAGCCTTGAAGGATAGCCAGTCTAGGAGAAGGATTATACTGATCTCAAAGCTTAGAGAAGACTATGGAAACCGTCTTCATTTTCTTTTCCAAGAAACTATGGAAATGCACATATAATAAAGAAAAAATAATCCGTGGAGAGCCATGATCGCCTACGTCTTGAAGGAAAATGGCATTTAAAAAACTAAAGTAAATGAATGAATATCATAAAATTAAAAAAAAGAAAGGAAGAAAGAAAGAACATTAGAAAGGGGGGGTCTTAAAAAAAGAAAATATCTAAGAGCGTAGAAATGAGAGAGAGGATTAAAAGAAAGAAAGAAAGAAAGAAAACGTGAAAGAGGGTTGACAGAAAGAAATTTAAGAAAGAAAGAAAGAAAGAAGGAAAGCGAGAGAGATGGTTAAAAGAAAGAAAGTAAGAAAAGAAAGAAAGAAAGAAAGAAAGAAAAGAAAGAAAGAAAACATGAAAGAGGGTTGACAGAAAGAAATTTAAGAAAGAAAGAAAGAAAGAAAACGTGAAAAAGGGTTAAAAGGAAAGAAACGGAGAAAACGAGAGAGAAGGTTAAAAGAAATAAAGAAAACGAGAGAGAGAGAGAGAGTTGAAAGAAAGAAAGAAAGAAAGAAAGAAAGAAAGAAAGGAGAGAGAGGGTTGAAAGAAAGAAAGAAAGAAAGGAAGAAGAGAGAGGGTTGAAAGCGGATAAATATCGAGCTGAGGTTTAGTAAGCTGATTTCACTGATCTTAATATCGAGTAGTGAGATTGATTCTCATTAAGCGCTCCAGATTTTTACCTTGTGCCAGGTACTACTTTAAGCTTACGTGGTCTAATGGATATCGTCTCGGAATGAGAAATCAGAAAGCCGAGTTCGAATTCCAGTCAAGTTCATTTCATTCACTTAAGCACAAAAACCTTGGAAAAGGCATGACTCCATCTCTTCTTCCTCCAGCGATGAGTTGAATAGCAGGACAGACTGCCTTGATTGGCAACCAGTCTATCAATCATATGTATGTATGGTTGATTTAAAAAAAAAATTGTTTTCCTAACTTTTATCACTGATTTAATTTTCTGAAATTAAATCCATTTCTCTAAACTTTTATAGAATTCGTGCAACAACAAAAGCAATTAAAATGTTGTGTTTTAATTTTACATTGAAATAACTAACACGAGTTTCGACTGATGTTCTGAACGAATTACGATGGGACTAAAACCTAATTGTTACATTTTGTTTAGAGCTTTTCTCTCAAATTTATTAGCTTGGTTGTCATCTGCTTTTTGACTTGATTGTGTTCGGAAAACAAATAATTGGTGCTCGACGCGAATAACGCTTGATATCCAATACAATGCCTCATTCACTCTTTTTGTACAAAGCAAATAGAAAAGAAACGGTTAATTTGCATTGTTATTTATGATTAGCTTGGATCACGTGATTGAGTTGGCTATTTCAAGAATGAATTGAACAATAATTTTAATTTTCAAAAAACAATAACAACAGCAATAAGAATAAAAATAATAATTACATGTCTTCTCTCTGATTGCATCAACCACGTCTTTTTGCATCGTATAATACAAAAAAATATCTCTTTAAGTCTCTGGTTGAGATTTGGACGCAAATCGTACTGCACAAAGAAAATGCAAAACACAATAATAATAATAATAATAATATCAGTTGCTTTCACAATAATCCTTACGAGATTCTTGTTAGGGCCCAAATCCATAACAATAACGAAATTCGAAAATAGCGAAATTGCTTTTTGCATTTTTCCGCCAATATTGTTGGGCGAGATGAAACCTGATTTTTAACCGACGCCATATTAATTGGCTTCAAATTGCTATTTCGCTTATTTTTATGCTTTTTGTTTAAAATAACTAACTTTCCATGGTTGCCGTTCTAACTAATAATAAGAGTTCTATCGGAAGTACAGAAGGGATAAAAGACTGTGGATATATATTATGTCTACCTACAGGCTTATGTAACTGAATTGGTTATGGCCAAATTGTTTAAGGCCGAATTGTTTAAGGCCAAATTGGTTATGGCCGAATTGTTTAAGGCAGAATTGGTTGAGGCCGAATTGTTTAAGGCCGAATTGTTTAAGGCCGAATTGGTTATGGCCAAATTGGTTATGACCAAGTTGTTTAAGGCCGAATTGGTTACGGCCAAATTGTTTAAGGCCGAATTGGTTAAGGCCGAATTGTTTAAGGCCGAATTGGTTATGGCCAAATTGTTTAAGGCAGAATTGGTTGAGGTCGAATTGTTTAAGGCCGAATTGGTTATGGCCAAATTGGTTATGGCCAAATTGTTTAAGGCCGAATTGGTTAAGGCCGAATTGTTTAAGGCCGAATTGGTTAAGGCCGAATTGTTTAAGGCCGAATTGTTTAAGGCCGAATTGGTTAAGGCCGAATTTGAAAGGCAACGATGATTTACGACAAGATGTGACTTCAAAACTACTTCTTTTATTCCATTGTAGGTTGCTTATTTAATAATCAAAAGGTATTCAACAATGAAAACTGCAATGAAAGACAACAAAATAAAGAAATTAATCTAAAATTAATAATCCAGATATCTTGAAACTATTGTCTAATAATACAAGTAATAAACGAAATATGGCATAAATATGACCTCGAACGTTTTGATGAATTGCAACAACAAAAGAAAGAAATTCGTAAAAAAATAATAATGAAAGTACTTTATTTAAGAATTCCGATAACTTAAGACTATTATATCTACAACTACTAGGTAATAAACAAAATATGGTGTGAAAGCTCAGACGTGTAAAAACATTTCGCTTTTTCAGTTGAGGAGTAACTTTTAAGTTAAGGTGGACCGCGAGTAAGAATTTGAAAACTAAAATTAGTTTATATCATTTTCACGAGGTGGGAAATGAATATGAGTGGTGTCAGACCCCAAGCTTCTCTTTGGCGGCATGTCTGGAAATATTATTATAAAAATGTACCCTGCGTAGCCAGTACTCTCCATGATCAAATCAGTAAAGACATTAGCCATGTAAGACAAGCCAGAGAGAGGATACAAGGTGTGAGTTCAAGACTTGCCGAAGGTTATTTTTTTTAGTTAAATTTAGAGTGATTATTTAACAGTCGAGGTGTATATCGGCCAATAATGTTGTGATAAAAATCAACAATAAGGTGAAGAAAATAAAAAAAAATATTAATAAAGTATAAAATTTAAACTTAGTTATGGATGCACGAGGGAGTGCTGAAAAGTTTTCAGCACTCCCTTGTATCTGATATAATTTGTTCTTCTTATTACGAGATCGGTTAGACGCCATTTTATGACCCCTTACGGCCTCCAAGTATCTGAATTCTGGCACATATTGTTAACACTTGGGTCTCTGCGTATTGGATTGGTTGGCATCCGTTTATCTCCTCATCTATAGCTCCCTTTTTAGTGGAAATTCTGTCCTTTGGTGGTGTAGCTGGGGTGACCTCTCCAGAGAGCAGGCCTGGGCGATGGTATATGGAAATCGTGTGCTGTCCAGACTACATAACCCCGCTCTCTGTCTCGTATAAAGGCCATTAGACTTGCGGCCGGCTTGGAGTTACCGGAAGGTTGAGAAATAAGAAAGTGTGCCGGTTAGAATACAAATAGATAATTGCGAGGTAAGAGGGGAAACAAGGAGTAACCTATCCAAAGTGCTTGTGTAAATTGGCAGAACAAGGATTGAGAGATACGGAGACAAACGTTGCTTAGAGCTACAAAATTAGGAACTTGTAGAGAGCCATGGTCGCTCAATTCAGCACATAAAAGAAGGTATTAAAGTATAAGTGAGTGAATTAATAAAATAAAAGTAATCCAGTCAGTTATGTTCCATTCGTGATACACAGGCGATCATGTATATTTCGATACATGACTAACGAGGCAGATTTTTCCCCGCAGTAGGTTGCCATTTCTTTCCACAGTAGACCAGTTGCCATCCAAGCCTATAGAACATCGTCTGTCCTGCTGGAGGGGAGAGGAAGAGGATTCATATCTTTCCCAAGGGTATTAGCATGTAAGTGAATGTAATGGATCTGACTGAAGTTCGAACTCGGCTCTCCGATTCCTCAATCCGAACCGCTATCCATTACTCCACCATGCCTAACCCTTATATGCTGAGGTACAAGCACTACTTGCACATAGCTTAAATCTATAAATAAGCATCCGTTTATCTCGCGAGATAAAGGTAACACCCTGTTTGTGTTGAAACTTGACTAATGCATGGAATAATAATGCAACACAAAATGTACTTAGAACAAAATGTATTGAAACAAGAAAGTGTACACAATATTTACATATAGTCTTTTGTATATTCCTGGTAAGACCGTTCCTGGAGAATGTGTTGACTGAGTCGCAGTCGGGCAGAGTCTCTGGTTGAATCTCTTGATTCCTCCCTCTCTTCCCGGTACCAACCATATTTATATGGTCGGTACTCCACTATACAAATTAGGTGGACCCTACCACAACAGTTTGGTAAAAATCCAGTCCTTTGATGGCGAGACTGAAGTGACCTCTTCAGAGCGAACACCTGGGCGATAATATACGGAGGCGCTGCCCAGACTATATGGCTGCAACCTCGGCTGTATCGACAAGACCCAAAGTATTGCAGGGAATTACATTAAGAGACGGCTTGGCTGCAGGAGTTTCCGGAATGTTGTCAGTGTTGACAACCAATCGCCTTCGAGCCTCCACTCCATATTTTCTATCTGGATTTACTTTTATAGCCTTTTCCGTGTTTGGATATGACCGCAACGTAGCGGAAGTTTAAAATCAGGTTTTTCCGTCCCCTAGATGGACTGCATTCCTGAGCTGTCGAGCTCCATCTACCCAAATCAGCTTGTTATGAGGCACCAGATGTACACCTTCGCCCATTTTCCGGCTTGAAGCTGGACTCGATTGTCACTAGGCTAACGTTTGCCGATTAAGATGGTAGGAAGACTAATCTTTGCGCTTTGATAACAGAACTAGTCGTCCGAGTCTAAGAAGGTGCTTATGAGACAGAGCCAATTGTAACATTATATTGGGTTGAAACAAGTTGGTAGCTTTTTTCAATAGGTAGCAATTGAAACCGTAAATTTATTTCATATATAACTGAAATTTATTACATATATACATATAATAAAATGAGGAACGTATAGGAAACATTTATAAATTTGACATGTTTCGCTTTTATTTAAGTTTCATTAGAAATGAAATATGAAGGGACAACAGAAAAATTTAGTATTTTTTTATTTTTGTGTTGTTTATTTTTCATTGGTTAAATAGACTTCACGTATATTTGTCTTGTCTAGTAGCATTCGTGTGTATCATATGTACGGATCATAATTCTAGTTGGTGCGGGATTTCTGATGAAGCTTAAATAAAAGGGAAACATGTTAAATTTATAAACATTTCTTATTTGTTCCTTATCCTGTCATTCTATCGGATTCTAATTCATATTTGATCCCAATTCACATATACATTAGGACAGACCGATTTTGGAACCGTAGTATTGCATTAATTTTCAAAGTTGGGGTTTGACATGGTGAATAACGGCACAAAATATTTTTCCAAATCGTTACCGTATTTTGAGCAAACAAGTTTAAAGATTAAATTTAGGTTCAAAATCGTAGCTTTAGAATTTAATGACGCTGATCAGTGAAAGCCTCATACCATAACCTTATAACATTTATAATTTACTGAAACTTTCCAAATTGTTGATGGACAAGATGCATGGCAAAACACATTATTATTAAATCATTGTTCCATCATTCATTTACTTCAAAGGGTAATTACACGGAACAATTTAGCTATATTATGATGTAATACACGGTGCAATGGGCAAATTGTCGCCATTTTATATTTTTAATTTAGCGCATGTACGGTGTTTGTTTTAGATTTTGTCGACTGCACAGTATAGTAAGGTCAATTGGGCACCGTCTATGAGTAAAAAGATCACCATGACGCAATTCACTCCGCCAGAAATTTGGAAACTGCATGTTGTACTGCTTGGCATTCGCATCGGAAGCTCCAATACGAACATTTCAGAGTGTTTGGGTGCCAATCTGTACAAAGGGCTCGGAAAGAGTTGGATGACTCTAATGGTGATTACGAAGGTGTTTGGAGTGATCACTAGTGATGGCGACGTTATACCTCCATTTATCTTCCTATATGGCTTCAGACTCAACACGGAAGCCTACATCAAGTGCCTTGAGGGGTTAGCGCTTCCCTGGGTCAAGAGGGTGGCTTCTGGAAGACCCTATATCTGGCAATAGGACTCTGCACCATGTCACACAACCAGGATAATCCAGTCGGACAATTTCTGCAACCACATCACCCCTTACATCTGGCCACCTAACTCCTCAGACTGCAACCCCCTTGATTATTATGTGTGGGGTGTAGTTGAACGAGAGACCAACAAAACTTCTTGTAGCACCGAAAATGAATTGAAGGTAAGGATTATGGCAGCATTCCCCAACACACATTTCTGTAACATACTCCAGATGTCTCCTTAACAAGTTATCAGCTGACAAATGATATCGCTACATTACACACACACACACACACACACACATATATATATATATATATATATATATATATATATATAATATATAACAATGTGGTGATATTCTACCGCTGTTAAATGGGATTTATTAAACAACGTTTTGATGATGGATCTAAAACTATTAATTTCATGAGAGGATGAGAAAAAAAATGGTACCAGGAATCTGAAAAACTTAATACCTGATTTAGCCCCCCCCTCCTTCTAAAATCCATCACCACCTGCACAGTTTTATTTTGTGGCGCCCTCTTCGTTCTGTAGCTGTGAAACATAGTGATTCAAAACAGTTCTCAGGCGATGATGAAAGCAGTTAAAGCAACTGGAACGCGTGATGAGATATTTTGCCGATATGACGTCACAGTTTTACCGATATGACGTCACACACTGATATTGATAGTATATACGGCACTCATGGGAAAGGGTTTCCGGTGCGTTGTACTTGTCCTCCTCGTTTTACAAAGGAGAAGGCGCTTAGTCCCGAAGATTCCCCACTTTCGGCAGCACCTCCCTCATTTTGCTAAAAGAAAGAGAGTCGGTGGAATATGGATGTCAACTTGACAGTTATCGCGGGGACTGGGTAATTTTTGGATTGCCCAAAGGCAGGGCCACATCAGAAAGACTTTGATTATCTTACCTGAGAGCAAAATGATAATAATAATAATAAAATAAAATAACTCGTTACTTAGTGCTTTTTTTCATCATGAATAAATAATAGATATTGCCAGAAGTGAGATGACAAGATATTGGCAGTCAAGTGAAAGATTATATCTGCTGTTCATCAGCGACGATTTATGCTGAAGCAATATACATCAAAAAACGTCCAACCTATGTTAATTTAAACCAAAAGTAATTTTCCTGCAGAGATATGCAAATATGGCAATAATCAATATCTGATATATGTCCCTCGGCGCATGCGTACTTGCTATTCATCATCTAAATTACGCTTTATAAATCACTCTTACAATTTAACATGGCCGCTGAACATCTATTTCTGTGAACATATTTTAATAACTAGTTTATTACATTTGAGACAATTGTTCAACGGCAGAGCGCTTAGCTATAAGCTTCAATGCCTTACATTTAGTTTCGAGGTGATGGTACATTTCTGATACATAAATTTTAAGTAAAGGAAATTATATTCATATTTTTAATCAATTTAATAGATTCCTGTTTCATTTGTCTGTCCGGTATTAATTAAACCAACACCGTGAATGAGTTAACTCCACTGCTATTAGTCCAATGTAAGTATTATGAATAGGATACGTGTATATTGTTACATTACTAAAACGCCGAAAATAATCTTGATAGGATGACCTAGATTCAAACTTAGAACTAACCAAGTCTTTCTTTTCTATGTGCTGTGTCCTTTCAGGACGTAGGCGATCATGGCTCTCCACCTCTCTCTATCCCTTGCAGCTCTCAACAAGTTCTTTCCCTCTGCCACCTCCCCCAGACCACGTTCTTTCATCCATTTACTTAAGGCCGCTAGGTATGTCATGCATTGTTTTCCCCTGTCTCTCTTTCCTTCTATTCGATCCGTGAGTATCAGATTCTCCAAGCCCTCCTTCTTCATTGTGTCCCGGGAACTTCAGCTGCGTCTTCCTGGTGTATAAGCCTTTTCCTTGTTTGCATCCTCTCTATGACTTTATCGTTGCTCACACGCTCGGTCCGTGATATCCTTAGCATCCTTCTGTAGAACCACATCTCCGTCGCCTCGAGTCTCTTCTTCATCTTTGAGGAAATCGTCCAACATTCGCTGCTGTAAAGAAGGACAAATGTCAACAGCTCAGTATTCTTTTCTTTGTTACCAAAGAAATCCTCCTGTCTCGCAATACTCAGCCCAGCTTTTGGAATGCGTCCTTGGCCATCTCAGTACGTCTACGGATCTCAATGTCACATTTACCGTCCTCTGTCAGAACGCTTCCCAGATATTTAAAATTCCGCGTCTGCTTGATTCTAGTGTCCCCGACCTGCAAATCGCATTTCGGGCTCATCATATTCCAAGGTTATAACAGGATAATCAAGTAAGACCAAATAATACCCATCGTTCCTCAGACCCTTGACCAAGATTCTCAATGGGATTGCGCTTACAAGAGCCATTTAAAAGAAACACGTGAAAAAGCTATCCACGCAAAGACCGCGCCGAAAAAATATTGGATAGAAAACAGCTGTAGTTTATAGCTAAAGGAATTAGATATAAAACGTAGGAAAAAGAAAATATAAGGTAAAGAAATGAATAAATAAAGAAAATCGTTAAAATGGATATCCAAAATTTATTGCTTTTGTTTGAATTCTCAATAAAAAAAAATATATACTTGAACAACGAGAGAATCGGAGAGATAGATGACAAGAAACAGTAACGGGACGCAGCCGCTATACGTTGGACATTTAGTGAGAATAAAACTAAATCAAGGGCAAGCCGTTTAAACCTTTCGAAATACTATAGTTTCCGAAATTTTCGGAGAGGTAACCTATTCGATTTTAATTAATAATGACAATGATATAATTAATCGTTTCCACACAGGAAACATTCAACATTCATTGACCGAACAGTTGTGATTACTGTCGGTTGAAAATAAATCTTTTTAATAAAGATTTCCAGAAAATTAGACATCTCATGTCCACTAACTGTTATAGCTCTTTCTATTATTGATGGGAGTTGTTTACAAGTCTTTTTTGTAGTGTGAATGATTAACAGATTGCTTATATCATTATTTACTCTTCTAATCGCACGTGATACCCATTTTTTCTGTTGTTTTTTTTACATATGGATACTTGCTTTGATCAACGCACGCGTAATGTAATTCTGTTTACACTGATCAACGATAACTGATGGACAATATGAAATCCCCATCAGCGTATATCAGCAGAACACTAAAAGCATATTAATACGCTGTATCCTTGGATATTATCCATGCACTATCCTATCGTATTGGAATGCGCCAACTGTATATCCTACAGAGGGGTAAGACTCACCCCCGCAAAAGGAGCCACCTTCCAGGTGAATACTTGTAGGCTCAGTTATAAGCCAAACCAAAACTTACTTTCTGTCTCAAGTATGCTCATGAGCAATATTTACCTTTTGACTCAAGTATAAAAGTATTCATAGTAATTTTATCCTATAAGACTTATATTCGACATTAAATGGGCCAGCAATGTTTGATATGTGGTTAAATTAACCAAGGCCTGTACTCTCACATATATACGATCGTAAAATGATGAATACTATCCAGTGATGCACATTATTCCACTCATTTTGAACCTGTTGACGCAAGTTGTAGGTGGGCTTGATGAATATGTCATGCATAGTCCCATCATGCCCAATAGGTATTTTCAGGCGATCATGCCGTACGTTGTTGAATACCTTGCAGATCCCGTTGAGCAGCACGAACAACATATAAGCGAGAAAGTGCAATGTCTTTTTATTGCAGTAAAGGCAACAGAAAAGGTAGAACAATGACGTGTATGGAACAATTCAACATTGAACAATGCATCATGTTCGATGTATGATACTGAGAGTTTATTTAACGAAAACAATGAAAAAGATGTAAACCATGGAAATCAGCAAAAGTGAAAATAATGAAGGAACCAATGAAAAACAGCGAAAAACAATAAAAACAATGAAAATCAGCAAACAATTAAACTTATGAATAAAACAATGTTAAAAACAATGAAAAACGATGCAATGGAAATCAGCAATGAAAATTATGAATGAAACAATCGTAAAAAACGATGAAAACAATGAAAAATATGTAAACAATGAAAATCAGCAAACAATGAAAATCAGCAAACAATGAAAACAAAGAAAAAGACGTAAATCATGAAAATCAGCGATTAGTTTGACACAAGGTCACAACTGTAGAGCTTTCGGTGAGTTTCGTACTCGCTACTTGTTCGTTACTACTCTAAAACGAGGCTTCTAGTATGGTGATTTTCTAAGCGTAGCTTAAATGTGGAAGAAGGCCGAACATATGGGGTACCCAGTGAGAATCGAAGTCACTAATCAGTTGTAAATGATCTAGCAAGACAAACTTGCTAAACATTACACCTCCTCGAGATGCCTAAATGATTTTCTAAGCGTAGCATAGATGTGGCACAATGTTGAAAGTATAGAGGCACTCAGTATGGATCGAAGTCACTATTCAGTCGTAATTGATCTAGCGAGACAAGCTTGCTAACCATCGAAATCATCGCTAACGTCGAAGTGCCCCGAAGTTTCCAATATAGATATTTACCAACCTTAGCTTAATCGATACAAAATTATAGAACTCCAAATGAGGTTGAAACTCACTACAATAGTAATAGTTTGCCTGACTAGCTTTCTAACCCAACGATGAAACGTCTGCGATCCGTTATGCAAACAATTTATTCATGAGGTGGTTATATAAATGTCATACTTCGGTATTGTGTATTTCTTTTTCTACCAAAGGACGCAGTCATGCGAGTTGTTTGTGCTAAAATTCTTAATGCTATTCTAAAATAAATTCCCAGCTGTCACAGCCGGTATGTAAATTAAGAACGTCTCTTGGGTGTCGTTTCGTTGCTTCGATTTGTAAGTCTTGAGGCTTACGGCCATATTGGATGTGCTGGTGGTATGGCTTACGGACATATTGGATGTGCTGGTGGTATGGCTTACGGCCATATTGGATGTGCTGGTGGTATGGCTTACGGCCATATTGGATGTGCTGGTGGTATGGCTTACGGCCATATTGGATGTGCTGGTGGCATGGCTTACGGCCATATTGGATGTGTGGTGGTATGGCTTACGGACATATTACGTAGAAACGCCGGTTCTCGTAGGATCACTGAAGATAAACAACGTCAAGCTTTGTCAGTACCTTGATAGGTGACCGCTTGGGAATACAGTGTGCTGGTGGTATGGCTTTTTAAAATCATTTCATCATAATATTCGACCTCCGACAGGAATCGAACCAGTATCCTATATGGAACCGTCCTATAGCCTGACGTGCCTTAACCGATTGAGCCACAGAGGATCGTTCGATTAGCAAGGTTGATTTTACTGCGGAAGACGAATATTTTCTATGAAAATTTTTCGGACATTCAGGCCGGTAAATGTTATTAATACTGTTTATTATAAACAGAGCATTTACTTAAATATTTGTATCTACATAAAGAATGTATAAACATAAAAATGTCTTAAAATAATTGTCGGGCTTTGTCCATTTCATTTATATATATATATATATATATATATATATATATATATATATATATATATATATATATATAACGAACTTGGGTGGAATACGAACTCAGCTCTTTGAATCCTAATTCTGAGCAGCTATTCATTACTCAGCCTTACCTTGGAAAAGGTTGGGAGCCATCTCTTCTCCAACCCCCTACCCCCGGCTATGGGTAAATAGCAGGACAGGCCTATGGCCTTGGGTGCCAACCGGTCTATGAGAAAGACAACTCTGAAGTCAAAACCTGAGGAGGATCGTTTGGGGAACTTGTCTCACCCAATGTGCAGCAGTTTTCTGTATTCGGCTCTTCCAAAAAGTGTGGTTGGTTCTACATAATCCTTCAGCAATAAAATCAAATCATATGGCTGTTTGCTTCCAAGAAATGAGTTGCTGTTCCGGAGTCCAGTTATATATATATATATATATATATATATATATTAAATAAATTTTATAGTTCATAACTATTTTTTTTAGTTTAATATGCTTTAGAAAAATACCTCACAACAATTAAAATCTTCTGAAATACATACTATAGATGAAGTTCATGACGTACTGGTTAGAAATTTTGATTCTAAGACTGCAGGGAGGTCAGACTTCATTTGGTGTATAAGTGGCAAAAAGGTAAGCGACTAATTTCGTAAGGTAGAAAATACAAAGCAGGTGTGATAAAAATGCTCGGCACACCTTCACACGTTAATAACAGGTAAGTAGACATACCGTTGTCGGTGTTTTTATACCCGGATCAACAATTTTTAGTGATGTGTCGGTAATTACGATAAAACAGGAGACACTCGTAATATAAACAAGATTGTAGATGCGTCACTTTGACACGTTAGTGTTACGTGACACTTGATGGCTTAACAGAATCAGACCAAAAGTTCATATGTAATTTTGTGAAAGCTCATTAAAAAAAAAATTCACTGCGAAGCAAGAAATGTTTTTAAATCAGGGCAGATTATTTATTTGCTTTTATAAAGTATTAACGATGTGACACTTAATATGAACAAATTATAGGGATATGTTGGGCGTAGCCTCGTTTTCAAACAAGACCTCGGGTTGTACAGACGTTAAAGACGCTTAAAAGCAAGAGTGTATTTTGTTTAATATCCTTATAGTACAAAGAAAAAAAAGAAAGAAAGAAAGAAAGCGGGAATAAATATGTAATGCTATCTGTAGATCTGCAATAACAAAATGTAGACACATATTGCGACAAACAGACAGACTGCGCATCTAAGTCTATGTATGCAAATATACTGATGGCTTCTCAGTTTCGTTTAATTTGGCAGAAAACCAAACGAGATAAAAAAAAAAGAAGGTTACGGAGATTATGCAGCTCCAAGTGAATATGACTTGAAAATCAATATTTTAAATCTTGATTTTTTTTTTTTTTTAGTTGGGCTTGAAAACTGACATGTGTAATTGAAAATTACGAAATTATTCCATCCACGAAGTACGCCATCACCCTCCGGCAACAAAAGTAGACACATGGAGAGGTGATATCTGGGTGAAAGATGTTATATATATATATATATATATATATATATATATATATATTAATCCACATACGGACTATTTCGCTGTATCACAGCTCATCAGTGTGGCTAGACATCCGATTGCTCCAAGCTGGGATCGAAAGATTCTACCCATAAGCTATTGGCACCTAGTAGAGAGGAAGGTGAATTCTTGCGTATTTATTTTTTGAATAAACACGCCAGTGACAGAGAGGGCTCAATTCATAGATTAGCTTTGCATTATCAGCAGTAGTAGTCACTGTTTACAAATTCGCGCTTTCTCTCCAAAGTGCTCGACCGAATTAATATTTCGGGGGCTTATATATTGTTATCAGCTCATCAGTGTGGCTAGACATCCGATAGCTTCAAGCCGGGAATGAAACATTCTACACCTAAGCTATTGGCGCCCGGTGAAGAAGGAAGGTTAATTCTTGCGTATTTATTTTTTTAATAAACACGTCAGCATTTGCATTATCATCACTCAATGTTTACAATATATATATATATATATATATATATATATATATATATATATATATATATATATTCTAAAATATTAATGGATTTTATAATTTAATCCAAACATATTTTTATTACTTTAAAAGTTATTTTTAGTGAATACCCGTATTTTAGACGCTCCGTTTTTTGTTTTTTGTTTTTGTTTTGTTTTTTGTTGTTTATATATATATATATATATATATATATATATATATATTTATTTCGTCTACCGGCCTACACACCTATTAAAGAAAATGTGAAACATTAAAGGTAAATAGAACTTTGCATGATTGTGAAGCTCTTCGTAGACGAGAAGTTAAATCATGCTGGATCAGGCGATGGTTTCAACTACGAAGGAGACACAGGTTTGAATCCTACCGGAGGGCACATTTCTTTTAATAATTTTTTCGAAGCTGAAGACCGGTAAATGAAATAAATACTGTTTAAAATAAAATAAATAAATAAAATAAAACATGGAGCGTCTACACAAATACGGGTATCCACTAAAACATAAAGTTTGGAGAAATAATAATAATAATAATAATAATAAAGATTATATATATATATATATATAATGGGGAGGAAAAAATGTGCATACATGCGTAAATACTTGCATGTATGTAAGTATATTCATTCCTCAGGTGCTATAAATACAGCGCTCAATGTGATGAAACAAGGCTATTAGCATGTATTAGTGAATACATAATATCCAACGTCGATAACATTACTTGGAGTTTCATGCAGTTAATGCAATCTTAAGGTGTGAATTCCAGAAGATTGCATTAACTGCATGAAACTCCGAGTAGTGTTATCGACATTGGATATTATGTATATTCACTAGAATCGGTTTGCGAAATAAAATATTACCATGGTTTTGTAAAGTCTCCGCTTTCATAATTATCATTTGCTCTGTTTTTACATTGAGCTCACTTTGGATTTATATCCTCTGTGGAATCATTCCTACGGATTATCAAATAATCTCTCTCTCTCTCTCTCTCTCTCTATATATATATATATATATATATATATATATATATATATATATATATATATATATAGATAGATAGATAGATAGATAGATCAGCTGGGTTTGAGGAATCGGAGTTCGAATTCCAGTCGAGTCTATTACATTATATTCCCTTACGTGCTAATACCCTTGGGAAAGTTATTAATCCTCTTCTTCTCCTTCCAGCTATGGGTAAATAGCAGGACAGACTGGGTTCTATAGCCTTGGATGGCAACTGGTCTAGGAGAAGGACAACTCTGAATTCAAAATCTGCGGAGGGTCGTTTGGGGACCTTGTTGCATGTAGTGCACCAAGTCTCTGTATTTGGCCCTTCAAAAAGTGCAGTTGGTTCTGCACAAATCCTCACCACTGTAATCAAATCATATGCGGTCTCTGGCTGTCGGTTCCTAGGAACTTTGCTGCTTGACCCTCATACGTCGAATACGACGGGAGAGTCCACCATAGATAGATAGATAGATAGATAGATAGATAGATAGATAGATAGATAGATTACTTCACACGTTATGATATTGATTTCTATGGAAATAAGGTCATGGGTGCTGAATGAAAAGATCTCAACCCGACTAAGACTAAGAAGCCTTTCCGGGAAAAATTTCTTATTTTGTGGTGTCGGAGTCGAGAACATTTTCCAAGGTTTGGACGGGATTTTGTTACTATAACTAGATTTTCTTTTATATTGCCAAGTGTGTATTTGCAGGAACCTAACTCTTATCTTGCGCTCACTTTCACGCCGATATCCTAATTAAAGGCATGAATCCATCTTTCCCCGCCCTCATATGAAACAAATAACTGGGTAGTGTGGGGCCCTCTAGCCTCGGGTGGAAAACTCTGAATTCCAAACCGTGGTGAAGTCAAAGGGAAACTATTCCACTATATTCCCCAAGAAGTCATAGCAATTCACAGATGATAAACAAAAAGAATCTGTGGAGAAGCCAACGGGAAACTACTCCACTATCTTTCCCAAGAAGTCATGGCAATTCACAGATGGTAAAGAAAAGGAAACGCGGAGAACGCAACGGGAAACCACTCCACTATCTTTCCCAAGGAGTCATAGAAATTGACAGAATGATAAAGAAACGGAATATGTAGAGAGTCATGATCATTTACATCATGAAGGGACATCCGAGGTCGCATTGGAGTAGATGATGATGCCTTTCAAAATCTAAACAATGTATTAAGAAATAGAAAATTCTCGTTAGAAACGACTGTTGAACTACTATGTAATATCAGACTTCCAAGAGAGCAGTGAATACTGGACAATTTCCTCACAGATGAAGAGAAGATTCAACGCAAAAGATGTAATTCTACAGAAGGATGCTAAGAATACCATGGACGGAACATGTGAGCAATTTAAGTAAAATGGAAACAAAAAAGGATACTTATACTTAGAATCAGAAAGAAACAGTTGAAATGTCTGCGTCACATAACGAGGGAAGAGGACTTGAAGAATTTGACACGCACAAGACATATTGAAAGACAAAGGGAAACAGCGAGTCACCTACCTAACGTGTTTGTGTAAATGGATAGCAGAACAAGCACTGGCAGGGATAGGGAAAAGACAAATCATACTAAGCGATACAAAGGATAGGAAGTTATGGAGAGCTATGATCACTTACCTAACGTGCTTGTGTAAAATGGATGGCAAATCACTGACTGAGAAAAACAGTAAAAAAGCAAACATTGATAAGTGCTACAAGAAATAGGAAGTTATGGAGAGCCATGATCACCTGCTGAAGAGATACGGCATATGAGAGCAACTTGCTAATCATACACATAAAGAACTACTCAATGTATTCTTGTTTTTTGTGGTGGGGAGTGGGTATTTATCGGTCGACTTAATCCGGTTTATTAAACGATACATTTCCTCTCTTCCATGACGAGCGGGAGGAGATGAATCGATTTTGACCTTGTTTCCATAGAAACCAATATTATATTTGAACATATAGCCAATAAAAAGAAGAAAAAACATAAAATGTGAAATCATCTTTTCGCTTTTCAAATACAGCTTCAGAGACAACTTGAATTGGAGTAATGTGTTTTTTTTTTTTAGCCCAAACAGAACTTCTAAAAGTCATACGATGCCTATCATGAATGTGACTTTTGTATCATTTTACTCCAAGCAAGGTGATAAAGCCACTAATGACACAAGCAGATTACTGAGTGTGAAAGAAACAGAAGAAAAAAAAAAAAAACACTATTAAGGAAATAGACCGATGCAGGAATTATAAGACAGTAGATAACAATTGACATTGCATTTAAATTTTTGAAGATTAAAGTTGATCGGAAAACAAAAAATCGGAGAGAGTTTCACGAACGAAATATACGAGGGAAGAAACAGCAAACATAGAACTTACGGTTATCTTTTTGCGATTTCAGCTATAAAATAATGATAAGGAAACTTAACTGCCAATCTAGTACTGCGCTTACATTGGTAAAGTCATGGTACCAAAGAGGAAAGTTCATCGGAACAATTACCATGAAATGCACGGTGAGGCAACGTTACCGCGGTGGGAAAGTGAAGACGAGATGTCAGGCCAGGAGCGATTCTTTGAATTTTATCAAGAATCTCTAAGCCCTAGACCAAATGTAGCAGCAGCATCCAGTGCATGTACAAATGGTAGACATATTAGATTCGGACAAGAAAAATCGTCTATCACGACACAGAGAACCAACTTTCCTAGCAGAAGACCTGGCAATTGATTCGATATAATCGTTGCACTGTTTTCTGTTAGTGGAAAACGTTATCCCGACGAGGCGCAATGCGTCATTCATGGGAGGTCAGTATCGACTATACTAAGTGGAGGCAAATAAGCTTATCTCAGACGATGAAAAGAAAACAGTTTAATTTTAGAAGCGTTAAAATTAACAAGTCATTAAAGTATCATCACGCATATACATCACCTGAATTCTGTACAAAAATAGGCCCACACAAGTTTTAAATTAAAATTTCCACGTTAGCATTTATTAACCAATCAGAGACGTTATCTCAAACGCCATTCAAGCTTTCAAATAGCAGGCAACCATTCTCTCATTTGCTTAAAAAAAAAAAAAAAAAAAAAACTCACGGCGAGAAATGATTAAAAAATCTTTTCCCTCCAAAAAATTCGATATTAAAAATTAGTAAATATATTTATTAGCCAATAAAATTTCTGGGTTTAGTAAATCTAACTTTTAACCATTATTACAGATTATAAAGTAAAGTTAGCCTTCAAGTTTTAGTTTATTATTATTTTGTTTTGCAATATTTATGTTTTTTACTGTTTTAGTAGTAGTTGCAAAAATTAAACTCAGATAAATTCTTTACAATTGTAGTTGTTGGGAAGAAAAAGATACTTTAATTCGTTGGGTTTGTCACGATGGCCACTCTTTTATTTTTAAATATTTTACGAGACTTTTGTTTCGTGTTACATATTTATATATCATTTCCCATATATAAAATATATATATGTTCGTGTGTCAGTGTGTGCGCGCGCGTGTCTTTGTAGAAAGAGAGAGAGAGAAAGACAACTGAAAGGTAAAATCGTTACCGTTTGTGTCTCAAATATAAGTAATACAAATTCTGGGAGACATATCTTTTCTTATCAACAACTTTTAACGGACCAACGCTAATTGATGGAAATCGATTACAGAATCCAAAGATAATAAAACAATAAATTAAAAACAGGCGAAAGGCGTCGTTGTAAATTGAAGTTCATTTTTAAAATCTCGAATGACCTTGTCTGGAATGAAGGACAAACTCTTCACCGACTTCGTCATGGGGAGATTGTAACCAGGCAGGGTTTCTGTCCTTCGAGTCTTTCATCTTGACATTTTATCAGCCAAACAGGTTTTTCTAAACTAGAGCAGTGTCATTTAAATTTCTTTTCTTGTGCGTGTGAATAGATAGATAGATAGATAGATAGAAACAGTGTAGACACAAAAATCAACACTGCACATATATAGAGCGTGCTGAAACATGATTGCATTTATGTAGCAGTTTATAACATGTTTTTATTATAATTGTTAATAATCGACTATGCTGAGTGGATATATATATATATATTGAAATTCATGTTCTCTGGGTCAGCAGGGGAGAACGAGGTACGACAATATTCCGGGCTTTTAGTGGACAGTAAATCCATGCAAACGTTTCGCCTTGCCGTCGAGATAAACAGAGAGACAAACAGAAACAATGACAAAGAAATATTAGTGCATCACCTTTAAGATGCATTTATCTGTTTTTCATTTAACTTGGTGTTTTTTATACGACTTTCAACTGTCCATTCCAAAAATAACGAAATCTCTACTAAAACACACAGTTACAGAGTCATTAAACGGATGCAAAAACTAGATGTTACTCCAAATATTATAAAGATAAAAGCTAGAACGGCAACATTTATACCTTTTTAACGTTAGTGGGGAAAAAAGAGTATTAACCTGTATTGCCAATGGCCGATATTTCGAATCCCATAGAAAGAGAGAATACACAATTTATGGATTAGCTTAAATGTATGAAGTGATTTTGAAAAAAAAAGTATATTCTAGCTACTTGTTAGCGATCTTTCATCCATCTACATTCCTTGGGTCCGTTGGTATCAACAGAATTCAATAATCCCTCTACCGTGGGATTAATATATAAATAGCATATAATATACCTGAAGATATCTACCTTGGGAAATCGGATCATTCAGAGTGAGTGTCAATGCAAATCCTACATTATTATTATTATTATTATTATTATTATTATTATTATTATTCAGCTGTAAAACACCGGAAATTACTTGATTACCCAAATTAGAGCATTTTAACAGTATTGCGCTAATAAAAATATCACTACGATGTACCGTTTTGGCTGTTTAACCATAACAGGAATCCAGATATGCAGAAATCAGTACGTTATAATACAGAAAATTACTTGCAAACAAATAAATAAATAGGATAAACTCTATAATTAATATTTAGTATATCTGGACTTATAGCCTTTCAAAAATCGAGTCATTATAATATACATTATCTGAGTAAGCGCGAATGCAGAACTCACACTATTAATATTAAGTTGGAAATAGTAAAATTGCTTTATTTGTCAATTTACAATTTTATGGTATTGCACTACCAAAAATCTAGCTACGATGTGCCATGTTTGATGTGTTACTGTAACAAACTGAAAAATAAAATCAACCAATTTGAATAAATTTTCGATTTTAAATTTGGTGTATTTTTAAGAAAGAATTTTGTATGTGTGCTGGTTAATAATTAAAATAAATAAATTCACGTTTTAATAAATCAACTTTAATAATTACTGTGTTAAATAATAAAACTTTTCTAATTGGAATTGTCTCAGTTTAAAAAGAAAAAAAAACTCAAGATATCTGTTAAGACACTTATACTTAACATAACGTAAGAGACAACTGAAATTTCTAGGGCACATGACGAGGAAAGAGTACTTGGAGAATTTGATACTCACCGGACTTACTGCAAGCAAAAGAGACAGAAGATAAACAGCAAGTAGCCTACGTAACAAGCCTGTATAAATAGTTGACAGTACAGGGATTGGGAGAAATAGCAAAACGACAAACCTTACTAAGAACTACAAAGGATAGGAAGTTGTGGAGACCCGTGAACGCTCACGTCCTGAAGGGACACGCA